CTGAGAAGAACTAGAGAGGGCTGTCTGTGAATGGCATGGGAAGCTTGGAAAGGGAATAGTGCAAAGTTCCAACCAAGGGTAGAATCCTGAAGCACATTTTCTCTCCCCACCTCCTCAGACATAGAAGAACTGAATGATCTTGGCCAAGTTTCCTCACTGGTCCCTGCTGGCTCTGTGAGGCACTCCCATCTCCATTCCAACTCAATTTGGAAAGGGGAAAAACCAGGAGGAAATTGCCACTTATTGTTATAATGATAGTTGTCTGTGTGTGGTTCTAGATGGGCAACAGAACCTCCTTTTGTACCAGTATTGGAGTGCAAGTAAAACAATGTGCAACTATGGTCTGACTTCTGTTTCATGTCACTAAAAATGGAGAGAACAGCCCAACCAAAAGGACACGTATTGAAAAGCCTTGGCTAGGACTCTCTTTTTTTGGGAGGGGGGACAGGAAGGAGTCGTTTGTTCAAGTCCAATAGTTATATAACTTCTAGGGAATCATGTTCTGGCTGGTTTTCAAGGCTTCTTTTCTGTCTGCCTCTACCATCAGCCTTCAGGGTAGTTAGTCAAGGCTTGCTAGACATGACGTATAGTGTGCCCATTGCAAGCCTTACCTCCTCCACCCTGACCCAGAGCTATGAACACTGGCCGAGAAACCAATTAGTCTATTCCTGAAGGGAATCGCTGATAAAACTCTTTAAAGAACCTTAATCCAATCGCTGATAAAACTCTTTAAAGAACCTTAAGTACGCTTCTGTAAAATTGCCACTGGGGTGTGTCAGAGATCAACAGGGCAGCTAGGTAAACAAATGAGCCCGCGTACGGGGAGGGCGGGATACAAATGTAATTAATTAATTAAATAAATAAATTCAAACAAATGTGCACTGTACAAACGCAACTTGTTCTGACCTCCCGTACATCTGTCTTCTTGTCTATGCTGTGGATATGTCTATGTGGTTGCCACATCTTTATGTCTACTTTCCTCTTTTATGTCTGTTATTTAAAATTTTCATCTGTCCATCCCTTGTCTAAACTTCTATAATAGACACTCATGTTTTGGGATAACAAAGTTTGAGTCCAGTCATGGCACCTTTAAGACCAAGTTTTATTCTGGATGCACACAAAACCTTTTACCCAGATTAAAACTTGGTTGGTTTTAACGGTGCCATTGGACTCAAACTTTGTTCTGCTGCTTCAGACCAACACAGCTACCCACCTGAATCAGTCTTTGGGATAGTTTGGTTGGTCCAAATTAAAGGTATTAAACAACTTTAGGGGGGGTTGGGGGGGGGTTGGTGTGCTAGTGTGGTTACTTATCACATTTCACTCAAGGGGTCTCTGATTGCAATGGACTTCCCTGATTTTTCTGTTGCCTGTTCCTGTTTTGCTTTTGGGGTAGATTTTTGAGGGTACCTTTAAATCATGGTTGCTGTGAGTAGTTAGAACTGCTGTTTTGAATGTCACACACAGAGACACATTGAGAATTGGATCTGTTCTGAGAATTTATGCAAAGTGTGTGCACGAATGCCAAGTATCACACAGAAAATTTCCTGGTGTGCAAAAGTCCTAGCACAAGCAGGAGCAATGAAATTACTCTTCGATTTGTGCTTGCACTACAGGAACATAGGGTTGCTAGCAATGCTCCCTCTAAGCTGCGGCGTCTTGTGACCAAAAATTCTGCTTTCTGAGCTACTGGCATTGAAGCTGTGAGTGGGCGATTTGGCTACTGCATAAATTAGTTCACTCTGGAGCCATCCTTCCTGAGCTAAGACAAAAATGTGTGAGCTGGAGGCTAAAAAACTGTGAGCTAGCTCACACTAACTCAGCTTAGAGGGAACACTGGTTGCTAGGTCCCCTCTGGCCACTGGCAGGGATGGGCGGGTAGGGTTGCCAGATTCAGGCTGAGTGTTGGAGGTGATGGGCTTTGCGCTGTCTCTGAGCATCAGACTTCAGAGGTGGTCTATAAGGGAGTCAGACTCTGCTGCCCTTTTCTTCTACTGCTCTGATACTATCCCTTTGATGTGTAGATTGCTACTCTCTGGGAATCTTCCTTCCTTCTGATTTGACGCCTTCTCTCCACACTGGGCCTTCTCTTCTTCATCTTGGCACCATGAGGTCAAGAGATGTTTTCTGCATCTCTATCCATCCTAGCTAGTTAGTCAAGATTAGAATCCTATCTCTACTCTCTCCTGTCTCGAATGGAGTTCCTTACAATAAAGGACTCATATTAGTTTTGCAAGGTTCAAGAGGCTTTGTGTGTAACTTTGTTTCTTTATGAGCACACACAAACCAGATAGACTCTGCTGCGTTATTTGCCTTGAGCACTCTGCTAACCCAAATAATCCTTCACTGAGAAACACCTGGAGATTTGGGGATAGAGCATGGGAAGGACAGAGAGCTCAGTGCCCTAGAGTCCTAGAGTCCACCCTCCAAAGCATCCATTTTTTCCCGGGGGAACTGATCTCTAGTCTAGAGAGGAGCTTTAATTCCAGGGGATCCCAGGGTCCCACCTGGAGGCTGGCATCCCGATGTGAAAGTGATTGTATCCCCACTACCTTTTCTTTGTGCACAAGACAGAACGCACAGTATTTCTTCTGATAACAGTTCAGTTGCAAGTGAAATAAAACCATGCCAGACGTGTCTTGCACACTTTATAAGAATGTTGTGACTTCATTAAAAATTATACTGAAGTGCTCTTTGTGGCTGTGGCCCATGCGCAGGCTGCATTAAGCTAAGTTCTTTCTGCTCATGCATTGTCACATCCAATCCCTATGCAGATAACTAGTGTAACTTCATGCATCTGACTTTCAGCTCCTCTGCAACCTGGTCTGTTGTGAAATTAAGCACACCAGGTGATTCTGCATTGGCTTTTCCCTCCATTGTTTCACCCAGGGGTCATTTCCTGAGGGAGCAAACAGGAGCAGAGCTCCGGCAGTAAGGAGATCAGGGGTAGGCACATGCAACAAGCCCCGCCCCTGCTCCCAGCAGCCCTCAGTCAGGCCACAAGGAGCAAGAAGCAGCCAGGTGTGCCAGGCCCCCCCCCCCCAGCTCGCCTTCAGGTACAAGCTCTCCCTCCTCTGTGAGGACAGATCTGCGTGGGCCCCCCCTCCATAGCTAGCAATCCAAAACAGTCCAGTGGCACCTTTAAGATCAAGTTTTATTCAGGTACAAGCTCTCTTTCCTCTGTGAGGGCAGATCCGCATGTTCCCCCCCCCCCAATAGCTAGCAATCCAAAGCAGTCCAGTGGAGCCTGAGCAGTGGGTGATGTCAGGGGGTGTGGCATATGCAAATAAGTTATGCTAATAAGTTATGCTAACGAGCTCCTGCACCTCTTTGTCTACGAAATGACCCCTGGTTTCACCAAACCCACGTTGGGACAGAAATTCCTCTCTGCGTTGCATGCTACTTTCACTTTCTTTGATCCTCAGATTTTATGGTATCCTCTACACTGCATGCCGGTTTCACTTTCTTCATTCATCGGGTTTTATGGTACTATCCGGATAGATTTATGGTAATTCAGGGGTAACTTTGCAGTCCGTGGGGCGTTGCCCTGGGGTATTTGAATGTGGTTTTGAGCTGCACCTTTGGTAAAACAACGGAGGGAAAAGCCAATGTAGAATCGCCCACTATTGCATAGTCATCATTTTTGCAAAAAAGGAAACGGTTATGCTTCAAAAGCTGGTGCAATACAGGCAGTGACAGAGCCCATGAACCCAGCATACTTCGGGTAGAGGAGAGCGTGCATTCAGCAATGTGTTGTAACATGTAGGGCAGCTCTTGGGCAGGAGTCCTTGATATGGAAATGGGGCTTTCCAAGTTTACAAGTCTTTGACTTCATCTGTTGGATGTTGGAATGCATGCTGTGACTCCTCCACCTTCTGGCTGGTTGTCCTTCCTGCTCTCTCACTCTCCTTTTCAGACCATGACTGCAAAGGGAGTCCCAGGGGGCCATCCTCTCTCTGAATCTCTTCACTGACTCCCTGTCCACATCACTTGCAAGGCTGTAGTCCTCAGCAGGGATGCTCAGACACCCACCATTCAGTTAATGTCCTGTTCACCAGCTGTGATCAGGCAGCCGGTTTTTCGATGCAGTGTTCGTCTGTTCACCAACCTATTTGTGGCTGTTCAGCAGGTTGTTTCAATGCATCCCTTCCTAACAGTACAGTTCAACCTTTTTGTGCCTGTATTCTCTCAGACAGCCTGACAGAGTTCTGCTCCTCCTCATCCTTGCTGTATCGCTGCTTTGTTCAGCCTGCAATAGTTTAAACCATTAAATCAGTCATAAATCTTATAACTCAGTCATTACAAAGAGTGTTTTAAAAAGATGCTATTTGTTTGGTGCTCATCTAAGACCGAGGGCCCCAATGTGGTTCCAATGGATACCTTGGTGCCTACCATCTATTTTTAGAAAGTGGGAGGGACCAAGTGGGGCATTTGCCAAGGAGGGCTTCTGATTGGCTGTGCAGATTTTTGAAAACATTCCTTTGGTGGCAGCTGCCAGCACAGCACAAGGATCTTCACTGTGTGTGGGAAGGTAAGCTGCATTTTCTGGCTGGCTCCACCTCCTACAGCAGCCATTTTGAGGCTGTGCCGACCGCCCCGTGTCAGAATTCCAAACAAGCCCACAGGCTGGAATAGGCAGGGGGGCCCTGATCTAAGTAGACCTTAGTGACACTAATGGCTTCTGGTCTGCTTGGTCGGGCCACCATTTTTGCACATGCACAGTTTTGTGGAAGCCAGTGCGAACCTGTTTGGTGGATGTTCAAGTCATCTGGTGCCAAACAAAGCCAAACCAGTGTTTGGCTCATGCCTGAACATCACAGTTGAACAAAGTGAGTTCAACAGCTGAACACGTTTGCAACCAAATTCGTGGCACTCCTTGTCCTTAGTGCTAAAAGGTTACGCTCTCCTCCCCAGCCACACCTTGTCCATTACATGCTGCTGTGAGGCTAGAGGTCATTCCTGATAGTTCATAACCATTTGTTCTATTAATTCCTTTAAAGGTTCTGCTTACATGGCTGCTCCAATCTGAAGGAGGCCCGAGAAACATTTACAAGTTTTGATGAAATCTTTCTCTAGCAAAGGCCAATAAGAAGAAGAGGAATACTTGAAAACAGGATGTCGAAGGTCATCCCAAGCCATGTAGTACGGGTTGGACAGACAATATGTGTTTCATCCCAGGAAGAGCAGTGCTTGCATAAGCATGGGTGCTCACCCTCTCACGCATTGCCCACAAAGTACTTTTATTACTCAACTGAGGGTTTGGACAGACGGAGCTCACTTGCCCAAACCAGAGGGTGCTCATTGCCCAAGACTGAACTCTTTAGCTCTTGGAAGCCTAGTACAGAGACCACACCTATGATGAGGTCTCCAACCCCAGAATGTCTGCAAGAGGAACCGTTAGACACAACCGGTGACACCTGCCCATTCTCTCCTACTTTGGATATATCCATTGAGAACCTGAATCGTCTGATCCTGGAGATAGATCCCACTTTTCAGCCTCTCCAGCTAAAGCCGGGCCCAACCCAGACTCCTGCACACGTTATCCCATGTGAACAAAAGCATGCCCCTGATTCCCCAGGTGAGTTTTGAAATTCGTCAGGCCGTAGGGCTAAGTTTGTGGAGCTGATGAATGGCAAAATTGCCAAGAGTTGTCCTTTTTGTGTGTTGAAGAGATTGTCTATGAGCAAACATACATGCTGGCCCTTCTGAAAAGTGGTCCTTAGATCCTCCATTCCTTAATAACAGCGGGAGCAATCACAAAACCGGCTGTGCACACAAATTCCCTTCCCCAAAGTTAAGTCCTTCTGAATTTCCCAGATAGGAAATAGAGTGTGATCACTATTGCATTAATGTCTTCCTAAGACAATGTGTCATCCCCCCAAAAAAGTATATTATATTCTGCACAAGATGTTACTAATTGCCAGCTCTGAGTTGGGAAATATCTGGAGATTTTGAGGGTGGAGCCTGGAGAGGGGTGGGGTTTGGGGAGGGGCGGGACCTCAGCAGGGTACAAAGCCATGGAGTCCAAACCAGCCATTTTCTCTAAGGGAACTGATCTCTGTTTTCTGGAGATGAGTTCTAATAGCAGGATATCTCCAGGCCACACCTGGAGGTTGAGAACTCTACCTGTTGTAGGGATCTGCGTGGCCAGGATGCAGGTCTAGCTGGACTTTTGGTCTACTGTAGCTGAACTTTTCTTCTCTACATCCATTATTGGAAGATTAGTTCTTTTAACCATCAGTTCACATGATCATTCGCTGCAGCATACCTGACTGATTTTTCCAAATGATAAGAAGATTAGATGTGCCAGTTAAACATAGCATCATTTTTGGTACTTTGCCCACCATGGGCTTGGCATGAGGCTTGTTCAGTCACATCCATTTACTAATTGTACAGTCCCAAAGATGCCTCAGAGGGTGTTCCATGTGGTGACTGCCAAAAAACATCACGGGATTAACATTGCTTCCCCCATCTTTGAGCTGCAAGTACTTGAGCATGTCAAGAATCTCAAAGTCTTTAATAAAACATAACTCCCCATCCCTCATGTGCCTTTTGCATTAATTAAAGGCTTCTGCGCACAGCAGATAATCTATTACTGTAAATTCTCCCTGAAATGGTAATGTGGCAGGTAATGTTTTGGCCCACACACCACAAGATTTCTTGGATGTTATCCCAGAATGCACTGGGCAGTGTCCAGGAATCACAAATATAGACATTTCATCATGAAAATGCTAGAAACATCCTGACCAAGCATTGTTCTAATGCAATATGCTATTCGACAGTGGCCAGCTGTATGCCTCTGGAAATTCATAAGCTTAAGGAAATAGCCCCCCTGCCTGATTCCCAATACTGATATATTTTTTTAAATAAAGTTTTATTGATATTTTAAGCACAAAACAACAATTCCAATAGAAAAGTCAGAATACAAGCGAAACAGGTCGTACCATTCACAACTTTCACTACAATAATAATGCTCTATAGAACCGTGTATAGATTTCATAACGTTTGATTCAGTTATATAGTAACATCTTGTATTTAACATTGCAAATTTCTTCCCAGTTGAACCCACCTATATTGAGTCTATCTAACAAAGGATACCAAGCATGCATTGGACTCATCAAGTCGCATTCCGTTTGAGTTTCTGTGTAAAACGTATTAAAATTCTCTAGTAAAAATAGGTCCCAAACCTTATGAACCCAATGTTGTATACTCGGAGGATTGGGTTCTTTCCAATTCTTGGCAATAACTATTTTGGCCGCTGTGAGTAGCGTACCAATCATCTTCAAGGAGGGTACAAGGGGTGAGTCAGCAGGCCACAAATTTAACAATAACAACAAAGGATCGGGTGGAACTACAACGCCCGTTAAAACCTTAATCTTTTGAATAACAAGAAGCCAGAAATTGTTGATGACCGGACAGGACCACCAGCAGTGAATATAAGACGCTTTTACCCCACATTGTTTCCAGCATAAGGGTTTAATATGTGGGTATATATGCGTTAACCTAGCTGGAGTAAGATACCAACGGGTTAGGACTTTCATGTTGGCTTCAAACACATTCAAAGATTTCCGTTAGGGGTCTGGTCAGGGAGAGTTTAAAGGCAGAGTGTTCCACAAAATGCCGGAGCTGGAGGTATTCAGCCCATTGTATCTTAAAATTATATTTTGATTCTAATTCTATCTTGTCTAGCATTTTCTTGTTGTGCATAACGTCTATCAGTCTTGTAACTTTTGCTTGTTTCCATGCTCGGAATTGTGATGGCTCTTTTGCTGGTAGGAACCATGGTTGCCCACAGAATGTACTCAGTTTCGAGGTGGGGGAGGTGAGAATACGTTTATGTTGGTCCCAAGTTTTGAGAGTGTGTTGCAAAAATGGTGATATTATATCAGTATTTAATGCATTGCGCTTTGTTCTCCATAGTAACGCCTGAAAGCTCTGGCCTCTTGTTGAATATTCTTCAATCCAAACCCAGTCCAGTTGTGAGTCTGAATCATATTGTCGGACTAGGGATGCTAACGTGGCCGCCTTGTAATATGAAGATAAATCGGGAGAGGCTAGCCCTCCTCGTTTCAGAGGCCTGGCCATAGTTCTAAAATTTACCCTTGGTATCTTATTATTCCAGACAAATTTGTTTATATCTCCTTGCCACTTTCGGAGGGTATTTTTGGGAATACCGATATTTGGAGACATGCTATCTTGGTGAACACTGAAGGTCTGTTTAGCAATAATGACATTGCTCCCGATAAGTCTCTCTCTTCTGTGAATCCGGCTAATCCATTTTGGGACCATCTAAGCACATGTCTGTCACCACATCTGCAGTGATCATTGCAAATTAATTATGCATCTCTACAGAGTATCTTGCTTTATATCTGTCCTGAACCTACTTCATTGGATGGCTGATCATGAGTTCTCATATTACAAAATTGGGAGAAAAGTCTCTCTAACTACCAAGCTTTTCCGCATTTTCATTTTCCTTATTTGTGTGTTCCTGTTTTTTAAAGGAACGGGGGGGGGGGGGGGGAGTCTGTTCTACTGGTGTTTTGCTCCCTCTAGTGGTTGATTCGATATTACATCACTTTCTGTCTGGCATATCTCCCTGCAGACGTAAACTGCAATTTTTTGTGCTAAAGCAACAGGAACACACAAGCAAGGAAAATGAGGATGTGAAAAAGCCCTACCATCTCAACACTGATCATAACCTCTGTTTGTTTCACAAGATGCAATAAAAAGGCACAGCAATTAAAATCATAAAAGCAATGCGCTTCTGCACATGCAAAGCAATTAAAATAATAAACTATCAAGAACAGCAGTCACTTCCAGTCCACTCCTCCATAATCCATGCAAGCAGCAGAAGCACAACTTGGTGGGAAATCCTGTCTAAATGGCATCATTGTACAGGGTCTTCTAAATGTAACTAGGTTAGTAATCTTGTAATAATCGTGTGGATTGCTATCAGGTTATGCCTTAGTTGCTTTTTCTAAACAAATATAAGGCTTCAAGAAGTATTATAAAACTATTTCTAGACCACCTTTCCCTGCTTAGTGGGTCTAGGTTTAGGAGCATTGGCATCTAGTGGGAGGGCACGTGATTTCTAGAGAGCCTCTATGAGGGCTTGGCATAGTGTTGCCAACCTCTAGGTGGTGGCTGGAGATCTCCTGGAATTACAACTGAACTCCAGGCAACAGAGGTCAGTTCGCCTGGAGAAAAATGGCTGCTTTGGAAGTTGGACTCTATGGCATTATACCCCATTGAAGTCCCTCCTCTCCCCAACCCCACCCATCCAACCCCTGCAAAGCCATATAGTGTCCACTCTCCAAAGCAGCTATTTTCTCCAGGGGAACTGATCTCTGTAATGTGGAGACCAGCTGTGATTCCAGGAGATCCTTTTTTTCCATGCCTGGCTCCCCGAAGATTACCAGGGGTTCCAGGCATGCACCTGGCAACCCAATTAGACCAGCATAGTAATTCCCCACTCCCTCTCTATGGGAACTGAGCATGTACACAAAAATATCCTACAGGACTGAGGAATGAAGAGGAATTGTTTTGGAATGAACTCTGTACATATATCTAATCTTTGTGGTATACAGACTCCAAGCTCTTCTTTTTTTAAAATACTTGTGATAAACAAGAATTATTCTTCAGAACCACTCCCTGCTAATTTGCACATGACCACGGAGTCCTCATTAAGATGGTTTGGCATGGTATTCAGAGCCACGGAGCACACTGAAAAGTATAATTTATTTGTCTCAAGCCTATTTCAATCCAGTCAGGAAACAAAGCACCTGAATTGGCATTTCATCCTTGCCCGTTCCATGCCCAAGACCAACATGATCTGTTACACCCATGCGGTTACAGGCCATTACCTTTCACCACAGTGGTGTCAGATGAACAAGCCAAGAAGAGACTTCTATGGTACTAATTTAATGTTTAGCAGACATCTCAAACGTGTTATATGTAAACTCAATCTTTCTGATTTCTTACTGTGTAAAATAGATAATAATGCTTAGAAATTCTGCCCAAAGGCAATCATGAAAGCTTTCTGCTCCTGCTTCATCTCATGAAGGCATGAAGTTACTTTTTAAATTGTATTTTTGCATTTTGTGTGTGTGTGCCTGTGCCTGGAAGTCACGGCAACTTCTGGCAACTCCTACTGGGGTATGGAGGACATTCAGAGAAGTGGCTTGATATAGCCTGCTTCTGTCTCCCAGCCCTGATATTCTTTGGAGATCTCCCTTCCAAGTATTTGCCAGGGTCAGCCCTGCTTAGCTTCCAAGATCTGACAAGATCCAGCATGCCTGGCTATCCAGGTCAGGGCTGAAGCTGCTTTAAACTGAGTCAGACCAGTGGTGTATCGAAGTCATACTGTCTACTCCAGTTGGCAACAACCCAGTAGACCTGTTCACAACTTACAACTTCCATGTACAGTGTCTTTATACAGGTATTGAGTAATTCTCATGTTATATTCAGTGTATGTGTAGCTGAACATGGGGTTTATCATACATATATCCAGGGTAGTAGTCCTTAGTTTCATTTGTAAAGTGGACATGTGTTGGCTCTGTCTTGCAAACAGATGCACAC